TTTTTCCTTAATTCCTTGTCCCTTATTTTATTCCTCTATTTTATTCCTTTTTCGCTTTAATTTTATTCAAGCCAAATTTCCCTGGGCCCAGTGTTATCAATTCCTTTTTTCCTTTGATCCTTTATTATATAGACACTCCCCCCTGTTTGCGTCGTTTCCAACGCAAACAAAATTTAGGAAATTTAGAACGGAATCTCATCACACAGCAATCACAGCATGGCACACACAGGTTCTTCACGGTGCATCCCCTCAACGCACACACAGCCACACGAACTGACCAGCGCCCAAAGTTGTGAGAAAGCTCACCTTATCTGCCGGCCTCTGGAGCGGGAGTCAGCTCACCTTATCTGCCGGCCTCTGGAGCGGGAGTCAGCTCACCTTATCTGCCGGCCTCTGGAGCGGGAGTCAGCTCACCGTATCTGCCGGCCTCTGGAGCGGGAGTCAGCTCACCTTATTTGCCGGCCTCTGGAGCGGGAGTCAGCTCACCGTATCTGCCGGCCTCTGGAGCGGGAGGCAGCTCACCTTATTTGCCGGCCTCTGGAGCGGGAGTCAGCTCACCGTATCTGCCGGCCTCTGGAGCGGGAGTCAGCTCACCTTATCTGCCGGCCTCTGGAGCGGGAGTCAGCTCACCGTATCTGCCGGCCTCTGGAGCGGGAGTCAGCTCACCTTATTTGCCGGCCTCTGGAGCGGGAGTCAGCTCACCGTATCTGCCGGCCTCTGGAGCGGGAGTCAGCTCACCTTATCTGCCGGCCTCTGGAGCGGGAGTCAGCTCACCGTATCTGCCGGCCTCTGGAGCGGGAGTCAGCTCACCTTATTTGCCGGCCTCTGGAGCGGGAGTCAGCTCACCGTATCTGCCGGCCTCTGGAGCGGGAGTCAGCTCACCTTATCTGCCGGCCTCTGGAGCGGGAGTCAGCTCACCGTATCTGCCGGCCTCTGGAGCGGGAGTCAGCTCACCTTATTTGCCGGCCTCTGGAGCGGGAGTCAGCTCACCGTATCTGCCGGCCTCTGGAGCGGGAGTCAGCTCACCTTATCTGCCGGACTCTGGAGCGGGAGTCAGCTCACCTTATCTGCCGGACTCTGGAGCGGGAGTCAGCTCACCTTATCTGCCGGACTCTGGAGCGGGAGTCAGCTCACCGTATCTGCCGGCCTCTGGAGCGGGAGTCAGCTCACCTTATCTGCCGGCCTCTGGAGCGGGAGTCAGCTCACCTTATCTGCCGGCTTCTGGAGCGGGAGTCAGCTCACCGTATCTGCCGGCCTCTGGAGCGGGAGTCAGCTCCGAGCCCATTATGGAACGTTGAAACACACGCAACACGTCCCAAAATCCTCGTCGCCAATTTCTGTGGTGTCCGAACAACGATGCTGCGATGATGTGTTGATAAGAAATCTGCTGACACTGTACTTGATTATAAAGGTTTATTATATCAAAGATTTCAGCATCAATTTACAGACTCTGCAGAATCTGGAGAGCAACGAAACCAATCCCAAATATGATCGCTCTCCCTGTCCTTTTGTTAAAACATGATATATATATCCTATGCTTCATGTAACATAAGATGGCGTGATTTGAATAGACCAATCCCTGGCCTCCACATATCCGAATCTCCACTGTTTTAGGGGGCCCCTATATTAACACTTTCCAGATGTTTCAGCAAAGTAGAGTAAAGTTCATCTAACCAACAATATGAAAACCTCAGATACTACACCTGTTTCTTTAGTGAAACAAGGAAGTGAATCAGAGGAATTGTCCCAGGAAGTGTGGACAGTCAATGACTAAATGGGCAGACATCCTGACCTGGGGTGGTAATCCAGTCAGACAGTACTCTCTCTAGCCTGTCACATCAGAGAACTGTCATGACATGGGACGCTCAGGACGGTAGATTAGTATCTATATTCAAACACACTTAAATACTGTGGTTCTAGCTCTGCCTATAATTACAATGTTTTAATGTTAATAGTGAGGAATAAACAGTAAATGTCCCCTCTATGTTCCTCCTCTCTTCTCCTAGGAAAGAGTCGGACACGAGCCAGATATCTGGACTGGATTTGGTGTCTTCCTTGTGTTACTGCCTGCTCACCCGTGCTTTAACCTCACCCGGAAAACAGGACCTCTTTGTCTTGGGTTATGTCACATTTAATGGCCCCCTAATAGGTCCCATGTAGCTCAGTTGGTAGAGCATGGCGTTTGCAACGCCAGGGTTGTGGGTATCGATTCCCACGGGGGGCCAGTATGAAAATGTATGCACTCACTAACTGTAAGTCGCTCTGGATAAGAGTGTCTGCTAAATGACTAAAATGTAAATGTAATTGATCTGAAGGCTGGGATTGGTTGAATTTTTTTATTTAACTTTTATTTAACTAGGCAAGTCAGTTAAGAACCAATTCTGATTTACAATGCTGGCCTGCCAAGAGGCAAAAGGCTTTCTGCAGGGACGGGGGCTGGAATTAAAAATAAAACTGTAGGACAAAACAGACATCACGACAAGAGAGACACCACACCACTACGTAAAGAGAGACCTAAGACAACAACACAACACTACATAAAGAGAGACCTAAGACAACAACACAACACTACATAAAGAGAGACCTAAGACAACACTACATAAAGAGAGACCTAAGACAACACTACATAAAGAGAGACCTAAGACAACACTATATAAAGAGAGACCTAAGACAACGCAACACTACGTAAAGAGAGACCTAAGACAACAACACAACACTACATAAAGAGAGACCTAAGACGCCACAACACTACATAAAGAGAGACCTAAGACACCACAACACTACATAAAGAGAGACCTAAGACAACAACACAACACTACATAAAGAGAGACCTAAGACGCCACAACACTACATAAAGAGAGACCTAAGACGCCACAACACTACATAAAGAGAGACCTAAGACACCACAACACTACATAAAGAGAGACCTAAGACGCCACAACACTACATAAAGAGAGACCTAAGACAACACAACACTACATAAAGAGAGACCTAAGACAACCGCAACACTACATAAAGAGAGACCTAAGACAACAACACAACACTACATAAAGAGAGACCTAAGACAACAACACAACACTACATAAAGAGAGACCTAAGACAACAACACAACACTACATAAAGAGAGACCTAAGACAACAACACAACACTACATAAAGAGAGACCTAAGACAACAACACAACACTACATAAAGAGAGACCTAAGACAACAACACAACACTACATAAAGAGAGACCTAAGACACCACAACACTACATAAAGAGAGACCTAAGACACCACAACACTACGTAAAGAGAGACCTAGCATGGCAGCAACACATGACAACACATGAATTCTGTGTGTCTCACTCACTCACTGCTGACCAGTCCAGCGGAGAAAGAAAGAATACTGCCCATGCAAGCTGGAGGAGTGATATCCATCCCTCTTATTACGTGGATATGAAAACACATAGTAATCATTTATTGTTTCCTCAGTGCAGAATATGAGGAGTTGGTGTTGACTGTTACTGTACATTTACCTCCACGTAGGGCCGGTTTCCCAGACACTGATTAAGCCTATATAGTCCTGGAAGATAAAGTGAAAACAGGCCAAAATGTGATTCAGGCCTATGTAATGAAAGCGTTTTTGCCATGGTAAATCAGGCCATTTTATTAATCCACCTCTATGAACAGACTTCAGTATTAGGGTCAATGACGTCACTAACGGAGCCCAAGTATTCTCATTTATCTTTAACTGAATGGATGTGACATGTTAAAGACCAAAGTGAACCGCATGACACTACTTGTAGTATCTTGTCACATGATTCCACTACCCACAATGCAAGACACAGACCAGACCCTTCCTGCTCACTATCCCTGCTACTCTTACAAGAAAATGGGATTCACAACCTGGTGATAAACTACAACATGAATAATGGGTCTTCTTCTCAATTAACTACTTACAGTTTTAGTTGCTAATTAATTGAAAATAAATTTACATTTTACAAAATAGATACATTTTCACAGATAAGTAATATATAAGTAATATTTATTCATACTTCACACACACCAGGTCACCATTTCAGTTATAAATCTACATTGTGAAATATTATATTTCAGAAAAAGCACAACAAGGTTGTTTTACATTATATTACATATTTAAAATAGTTTTTAACATAATATGCTATTTTCAAGTAGACAACACTGAGTGCCCTTTAATAGGTTTCAATGGATGGGCTTAAGACACTGAGATAGAAAACAGCAATCTAAATACTTAGGATTGGATTTGGCAGATAAAACATTCCAACCTTAATCAAAATGTGCGTAAATACAGTGTCTAAAATCAACATTGTCTAATTACTAAATGTAAAATGTAATGAAAAAGCAGGGGGATTGCATGTAACATAAAATATATACAGTATAAAACTGTGTGAGAACATATTGTGTACAACTGGAAGAGCTAACTACTGTATGTTGCCTTACTATTAATGTAAGATCAATAACAAGCTCTATCACATAGTGTCGAACAGAAAAATCAAAAGTAACAGACGTCAATATAGTTTCTGCTGTTTTAAGAAAATATGTAAATGGAGGCAAATTAGATGATAATCTGTTAGAGAAATTATCATGTAAATGGTTAATATGGCAGAGAAATATGTTTGTTTGCATCCTGTGTAACAGAATCTGTCCATACACTGGTTCTAGATTTGTATGAACAAAATCTAGCAATATAGTTTAAGTATCTGGCCACAATGAAACATGCAATATTGCTATAATTATTGTTTACGACATTAACTGAACTCTAAGAAGAAACTCTGAAAAAGTGGGCAAAGATACGGCACAATACAAGAACAAGGACAAACATTGACTCTGCATCGTAAACAAGGACCTCCATTTTCAAATATAGTGGGAACTGTACAGTAAGCTTCATCAAAGGGCCTCTGTGGCCTCAGTTATACAGTTCTTACCCATTGGAGCGCTCCAGCGCGTTCATTCTTCTCCTCAGTGGGGTTCTATGGTTCTATGGTTTGGGGAAGGCCGAGACCCTGAGGATCTCCAGACAGTTGACTGCGATGAGCGCCCCGGTCAGCTGCCTCCACTGTCTGGTGATTGGGCTCTTCATCTTGTCCAGGGCCAGGTGGAGGTCCTGGATCATGTCCTGGTAGCCCTCCTCATACAGCTGGCTCCATGAGTACAGGAAGTCATAGGCAGGTTTCCACATGGACTACAATAGAGGAGAGAGGAGGAACCACGAGTTCAGTTCAGTTGATAGTTAGTTGATAGTTTGAGCATCTATCATATCAGAGTTTATTCATCATATGCACAGGATACAGCAGGGTATAAACGGTACAATGAAATGCTTACTTGCGTGCTCTCAAAAGAGCAGTGGAAATAAATCTATTGCCCATCTATAATGGACGATATGAATAAAAGTATTGGTACAGCCTTACTAATCCTTGTCTGTTGATCCAATGAGATCATGAAGGGGTGATCTTCTAAAAACAACACATTTTCCTAAATACAACAAATACAAGTCAAATGAACAAACCGTGGCGCTAACTTCTCCACTCTTCCCCCGGTGTGGTGCCTCGTAACCAGCGATCTGAGCACTGGAGAGTTTCCCCAGCCTCTCAGCGAGCTCCCTCCACCTGATACCCAGCTCCACCGCCGTGGACAGGATGACCGTGTTCTGGATCAAATGAGCCACAAGAGCCTGAGAGTCCATCTTCAACAGGCCCTAGGATGTAAAAAGCACCATACAAAACACATACTTGAAATGCAACAAATGAAGCGCATTTAGAAAAGAGAAAAAGTCACTCAAAACAAAGGTCAAGTTGGTTTGAAGTTTCTTCTCTAAACCTGAGACCTATCAAACAAATGTTATCATGCCCCGTCCTTTTCTACACTTACGATTATAAGCTTGTGCTGGAACTTCTTCTTGCTGTTCTCAGTGTGGCAGTCCTCCTTCAGTTTCTCCAGCACGCATGCAACCTTCTCGGCTTCTGTTTCAGCATGTCTCCGTGTGATTGTGTCCAGCGACAAGCTTGAGTAGCCAAGGGCATCAGCGAAGCCCCTCCAGCTGGGAATGTGTTTGGTCACCAGTGTCTGGATGTCTGAGTACATGTAGGTGAGCTTCTTGAACGGCAGTGCCATGTTGTCCAAGAGGGTCTCGGTGGTGAAGTCAGTGCCGTTGAAGTCGATCACTTGGTCTCGGGTGATGAGCTTGACGTTCTTGCAATGGACCAGGCCGGTCCTGCCTCGGAGGAAGCCAATGTACCACTCCTTGACTTTGGACTGGCCCACCGACCTCACGGTCTCTCTGGAGAGGAGAGCCACTGTGTCTCCCTTGAAGTACTCCAGGAGGTATTCCACTCGCGGTTGACGGAGCACTGACTTCAGTGCCACCCCGTAACACTGCACCTTCACAGGTCTGCTCCCAAATTTGGGGAACTCTGGGACGGATTCCTCCGGGATAGGTAGCGATTGACACATTTTGTTTTGCCTGGAACCTCGCTTTTCAGAGCGAATAGGTGCCGCTGCAGGGGAAGACACCTGGAACTCTGCTACAGTGACACTGTTTGAATCCCTCACCTGGAGGCGTAGCTTAAAGGAATCCATCTCCCCATTGCCCATGTTGGCCAGCTCAAGAGGCAGGTGAATGACTTTGCCCAGTTTGAGTAGCCCTTGTCTCACCTCTTTCCTTTTATCCTGGGCTTTGACCTTGAACTTTGATGCTATGACGGTAGTCGCGATGTGTAGGTCATTCAGTCTCTCTGGGCTAAACTGGTGCTTCTCCCAGAGCTGTAGAACCAGAGGGGGCAGGTTTCTGCTGCCTCTGTGGATATCTGAGAACGGAAGCCTCGGTGGAACATTATCGTGGCAAGAGACGACCACGACCACTTTGAAAGACGGATGGATATACTTTGGGCCATAAACGGCAACAGTGACTCGACGATCCAGGTAATCCCAAACAGATGTAGCAGGGGGTTGGATAACCGATGCCTCTGCGGCTACAATAACATAGAAATGAGACTTTAAGTCTTGAAGCTTCATCTGCATGATGTTCTTGTAAATGTAACAGTCCTTGACTTTCTGATAAGGTCCCTCTCTCTTATTGGACACTAGTCCAACAAAGGTGGTCATGACCTGACTTATCGGATCCTTCTTAACCTCCGCAACCATTTTCATTTCCAGAGAGATGGATTCCTTTCCGCTCGTGTTGCTGAGACTCACCTCCAGGAGCGGACTCACGGTTGTCATATAGTTGTTGTTCAGCCCGTGAGGGGGCTCCAGGATGGCTTTCAGCGCAACCTCCTGAACCTCCCCAGCAGGAACATGGCCCTCTGGGATATGGGCTGTAATATCAGAGTCTGGTAACTGTAGTGACCCTCCGCTGTGACCTATCTTGCAGACTATCTGAGAGTCGGTGGCTTGGGTCTGGGCCCATCCAGGACTCTGACTCATCAGTCCTAGGTCAAGGCATGACCTCGTTAGCTGCCTGTGACTCAACCAGGCCATTTTGTAAGCCTCCCGGTCATTTTTCAACCACTCAAAATCTGCATTCAGAAACAGGCTTGCTGGCGATTTGAGGCTATTGTCTCTTTTGGGTTCCTTTCTCTCCAGGTCGCCGAGAATATCCGAGGCACTCCTCCATCTCCCTGACTGTCTTATGCTCTTTCGCTTCGTATCCGCAAAATGGACGAAGTTTGTTTCGTCCGAAGATGTGCTACTGGCGTCAAAGTTCTCACTGTCAAACAGAGCCGAAGGTTCATCTTGCTGTATTGATAGATCAGCATTGTTTAACGTTTTGTCATTGTTTGTGTGTACAATGTCATCCAAAAATGGATTGGATCCAGATAGTTTGTTCCAGAATGGATTTGTGGTTTGACTTCCATGTTTGACCTCTGGCTGCAACACAGGCCACTCAGAATGTTTTGGCACTTGATTTATTATGTAACTACTCCCTGTGAAAATACAAAATATATGTGTGAAATCAATGCCTTATTTGCTAATATAAAACATACTGTACATATGAGAGCATGGTAAAATCACATAGAATGGGCTTCAATACTGGTTGTAGCTCTTTAAACAGGCAACCATTCAAAGGAGTTACAATACCCATAATGCAATCCTATATTTGAAATTGTTTCATAACTAGGGTTGCAAGAATCTAGTCACTTTCCCAAGACTACCAGATTTTTGCAACCCTATTCATGACATTTAGTTCAAAGACAACATATTTCATAAACGTTAGAGTAGGCTACCAATTAAATTGTTGATGTTCAGCGTTCCATTTTCGTCTAGATCAATCAACATCCCCTCAGATTTGCTCCTAATTAGACTTCCTTGGCGACGAAATGACTTTGCTCTGACAGCTGCCATCTTTACATCTGTAAACATTAAGATTCATAAGTTACATACACAATGACTACAGCTCAAATTGCAATCAGTTTGCATAATAACATATACAGTATATCCTGTATAATATTTTAGCGAATTCGGAGGGTAGCCCTGGCTCGTAACCGGGTCCAGCGACTGTCAAACCAAGACCTTCACCGTTATGCCAAGAGGTCCGAACCCCTTGACGAGGTCGCTAGGTGTTGAGTTAAGGTCGCTACGATATAGGCCTATGTCCTACAATGTTATATGTTTTCTACCCTGGCTGTTTATTCTATAAATATTGGCTACATACACAATAGTTAAAAAATACGGATAAAGTAGCCTACAATTGAAGCTAAAAAAAACTATGAAAACACAGAGAAACAACATATCTAGATAGGCCTACAGTTTCTTTCTTTTACCAAAAATTGTTTTGTGGTGCTGTAGTAGGGCTGGCTGATATCTCCAATTAATATTTTTAGGCCATATCGCCCAGCCATTTGCCATTGTTAGTCCATTTCCTCCACACTGGTTCACACCTGAGATTCTTTACCTGGGGCTACCTGTGGGTTTAGTTTGAGGTAACCTATTTTACAGAGCATAAAGCATGAACTCATTCAGACTGTCATTTGTTTGCGTAAAGGGAGACTTCTTAACATTCATGTATAGCCTATGTAGCTGTCGCAGTGAGTCAGTAGTTATTAATTTGGTTTGTACACGAGTGCACACAAACAGGTTGCTCTTGTCTGGGATTCAACAATCAGTTATTTCGCAAAGCCGCTTCTTGTGTGTGTGTAGGTGGGTGGGTGGGTACCAACCCTCCTGTCGAATTTGACTGTTGCGTCATCTTGAAATACAGAAGCCTAGTTCAGGCGCACCTGTTGGATAGCCTACCTTATCGTTGAGAAAATGTATAAAGCCAGAGCTAGGTGTGAACACACCATCATCATCGACAAAACCATCATAAAAATTAGGCTACATACAGTATGACTACTGTAATAGTTGTTTTTACACATATAGAAATGCTGTCCCACTGTCTATGCCAGATTAATTTTTTTTAAATACAGTTTCCGCGGAGTCAACAGGTGCATTACAAACGCCCGCTTGTGCGCTTCAACTACGGTAAACCAGTGGCTATGTAGTTCTGTATGATTTTAAAAAGATATATATATATATATATATATATATATAGCCTACATGTCAAACTTTCAAACACAAGATAGACCTACCTGTACTACGTTCATACAAATATTATGATTCCGTTCGGCTACCATATATTTAACTGATTTGCCAACTTGCCTACTATTCCCAACGTCGGTAACGTTAGAAGCAGCAGCAGACAAAAATATTGAAAAATAGATTGTAACAATATTTACTTACCATGTCTCGCCAAACGGTCTTTCAGAGATGTCGGGGAATCTCACTTTTCATCCATGGTAATAAGGTTTCCATCATAGCCTTATTTAAACACCAACTTTTTTTAGGAAGCGAGTCATATCGAATCATATCATTACACCTTCACGCCACAACTCTCGCCTCTGTTTGCTTTGAAACTACAAGCATTCCGGGACTAGTAGTTCAAAACAATGAGGCTACTATTCAAATGAACTGGTTTAAGTTGATTATAAAACTACAATATCCGTAATGCAATCCTGTATTTACACAAAGAGCGTTGCAACACTGAAACTGGAGCAGAAACTAGGTAGTTTCAGTGTTCTGTCATTACATGAGATATTCTTTTTTTCTCCCATGGATGCAATTATGTGAATGGCAGACAGTTCAATGACAAAGTTGGCTCATCATGCATAATCATTTAAGCTATTATAAATGATGGGTCATAATAACACATGTATAAGCTATTTACTAATTGTTTTATACAAAGGGTTTTTGATTAGAAGTTATACATTGTGTTACTCAATTAGTGCATTTTAGTGTATTGCTCAAAATATGTGTTATCACTTGTAGCCTAATATGGCCTAGATAGCCTACATTAAATATATGTGAATAACATTGTGATCCTCTCTCTTTGTTTAAACATGGGTGTGTTTCTTCTAGCCTATGGCTTTATGCACATCATATGTTTGTGGTGTTGAGATTGCGCTCATATATCTTGTCTTGTCCAAACTCAACATCCAAACTCAATATCCAAACTCAACATCCAAACTCAACATCCAAACTCAACATCCAAACTCAGTTTCTTGCTACAATCACTCCTTTTGGTCATTTAGCCTACCTTGTGGTCCTCTGTAGCTCAGCTGGTAGAGCACGGCGCTTGAAACGCCAAGGTAGTGGGTTCGATCCCCGGGACCACCCATACACAAAAAAATGTATGCACGCATGACTGTAAGTCGCTTTGGATAAAAGCGTCTGCTAAATGGCATATTATTATTATTAGTAGTATCCAGATGGGCCTATGGGCCATTCTGGCTGGGACAAGGAAGGCTTACTTAGTCTCTTTAGATGTTAGGTGACATTTTACCTTTGAACAAAGCATGCTGATATTCTCCTATGCTCTAAATAGGGTAATGTAGTAGTGTTGTTCTCATTGACTTCAATAACACTGAAACATTCAGATACTCACTTTAACCCAAGTAATTTACATACAGTCCTCGTCATGTTGATCTTGACAAGGAGCAGGTATAGCCTGGACATAGACCTGTAAAAATGTTCAGTTTAGTATCAGCATACTGCTGATGGAGTGAGTTCAAATCAAATTTTACATGATGTCTTATTGTCTTCTAGGAAAAAATAGGATATATCCATCACCATAATTTATCCATCTGACAAAATGACTTACAAATGTGTCTGTATAACCAGGGAAAAGTTGAAATGGCTGAATTGTGGCCAGAGCCGCTAATATTGTGGCCAGAGCTGGTTTGGTGGTGTGTGGACCTTGGCCTCTGAAAGTAGCTGGTGTTCGAGAAATGCGACTAAGCGCTACTGAGTAGATTATGAATGTTAATTTTTAATGGGGAAAAGACCGTCATACAGCACCTATTTAAAACTCTGGGGAACACATGCAATGATTGTGAAAGGCAAAATGCAAATAAAACTTCACTTACAGATGAAGGTTATGCCCCTTTGGTGCTCAACCCTTAAAATTGTATTATTATTATTTTTTATAAAACATGATGAACAATATTTCAGTATTGTACATATCATACCCCTGAAGCTGGTACTGTAGTAGTCTATGCTTAGGACAACTCTACTGACAATGACATGAAATAATTGAGACAGTGGGGAGAACAAGTATTTGATACACTGCCGATTTTGCAGGTTTTCCTACTTACAAAGCATGTAGAGGTCTGTCATTTTTATCATAGGTACACTTCAACTGTGAGAGACAGAATCTAAAACACAAATCCAGAAAATCACATTGTATGATTTTTAAGTAATTCATTTGCATTTTATTGCATGACATAAATATTTGATACATCAGAAAAGCATAACTTAATATTTGGTACAGAAACCTTTGTTTGCAATTACAGAGATCATAAGTTTCCTGTAGGTCTTGACCAGGTTTGCACACACTGCAGCAGGGATTTTGGGCCACTCCTCCATACAGACCTTCTCCAGATCCTTCAGGTTTCGGGGCTGTTGCTGGGCAATATGAACTTTCAGCTCCCTCCAAAGATGTTCTATTGGGTTCAGGTCTGGAGACTGGCTAGGCCACTCCAGGACCTTGAGATGCTTCTTACGGAGCCACTCCTTAGTTGCCCTGGCTGTGTGTTTCGGGTCGTTGTCATGCTGGAAGACCCAGCCACGACCCATCTTCAATGCTCTTACTGAGGGAAGGAGGTTGTTGGCCAAGATCTCGCAATACATGGCCCCATCCATCCTCCCCTCAATACGGTGCAGTCGTCCTGTCCCCTTTGCAGAAAAGCATCCCCAAAGAATGATGTTTCCACCTCCATGCTTCACAGTTGGGATGGTGTTCTTGAGGATGTACTCATCCTTCTTCTTCCTCCAAACACGGCGAGTGGAGTTTAGACCAAAAAGCTCTATTTTTGTCTCATTAGACCACATTACCTTCTCCCATTCCTCCTCTGGATCATCCAGATGGTCATTGGCAAACTTCAGATGGGCCTGGACATGCGCTGGCTTGAGCAGGGGGACCTTGCGTGTGCTGCAGGATTTTAATCCATGACGGCGTAGTGTGTTACTAATGGTTTTCTTTGAGACTGTGGTCCCAGCTCTCTTCAGGTTATTGACCAGGTCCTGCCGTGTAGTTCTGGGCTGATCCCTCACCTTCCTCATGATCATTGATGCACCACAAGGTGAGATCTTGCATGGAGCCCCAGACAGAGGGTGATTGACCGTCATCTTGAACTTCTTCAATTTTCTAATAATTGCGCCAACAGTTGTTGCTTTCTCACCAAGCTGCTTGCCTATTGTCCTGTAGCCCATCCCAGCCTTGTGCAGGTCTACAATTTTATCCCTGATGTCCTTACACAGCTCTCTGGTCTTGGCCATTGTGGAGAGGTTGGAGTCTGTTTGATTGAGTGTGTGGACAGGTGTCTTTTATACAGGTAACGAGTTCAAACAGGTGCAGTTAATACACGTAATGAGTGGAGAACAGGAGGGCTTCTTAAAGAAAAACTAACAGGTCTGTGAGAGCCGGAATTCTTACTGGTTGGTAGGTGATCAAATACGGTACTTATGTCATGCAATAAAATGCAAATGAATTACTTAAAAATCATACAATGTGATTTTCTGGATTTTTGTTTTAGATTCCGTCTCTCACAGTTGAAGTGTACCTATGATAAAAATTACAGACCTCTACATGCTTTGTAAGTAGGAAAACCTGCAAAATCGGCAGTGTATCAAATACTTGTTCTCCCCACTGTATGCCTCCTACTGGTCAACCTTAAACAAACTCACATCACAACGCTGGTTAGATACTAAGCTGCTCTCTAGTGGTGCTTTTAAAAGTGTTGTTGTGCCAGGATAAAAAATATTCTAGATGACTGACTGAATGTACATTGATCGAAAGCGTCTTACCCCTCATATAGAGCCTTCCGACTCAAAAAGGAGCCATGGTCATCATCATAAGCCCTGTTTATACCTGCCGCTAACATGCGTCCTTTGTCCTGATCTCATCCTGATCTTATCCGTTTACACTTATAAAATCTGATCAAAATAAGTTCATAATGCGTCTTTTAATCGTCTACACTTGTCTAAAAATGTTTGCACAATCAGAATGTGGACAGTATCAGGACAAAGGACGCATAATAATAATAATAATAATATGCCATTTAGCAGACGCTTTTATCCAAAGCGACTTACAGTCATTCGTGCATACATTTTTGTGTATGGGTGGTCCCGGGGATCAAACCCACTACCTTGGCGTTACAAGCGCCGTGCTCTACCAGCTGAGCTACAGAGGACCACATGTTAGACCTAGGTATAAACGGGGCCAGAGTCTCTGTGGAAAGTAGCAATATGTGAATCACTTTGTATTAAAGGGATAGTTCACCCAAATTACAACATTAGTTAGATCAGTGGTTCCCACTGGGGGTACTTGGCCTATCCACAGCAGGTACTTGAGAAGACTCATGAGACCATAGGCCTACTGGTAAAATGCATGAGAGGATCCTTCAGGGGTACCCCGGGCAGAGCAAAATTCAATTGGTGGTACAGTAACCAAAAAAGGTTGGGAACCACTGAAAGTCATCTATGAGCCAGAAGAAACTATTCCACGTTCAAATATTTTTTGGGGCAGCAGCATGTTTGAATTGCATAAAGATAGTTTACCCAAATTACAACATTAGATGATTCATTGCCCTGAAAGCAGTCTATGGGCTAGAAGAGACTTTAATTATATATTATTGGTTTTACTTCGCAACTGCCACTAACTACGAACTTCAGAGCAGCAACATGTATGAATTGCATGGCCAAACCAGCTAGGATGGAGAGAAGTAAGTGGCAGGTGGTTTAAGCTCTCTCACCTGGTTAAAAGTTTAAAGTGTGTACAGATGTAGAATCTTCATTTGACTTATATTGTCACAGTGTCACGATCGTCGTAATGAGTGGACCATCTTTTAATGCGTACTTTTCAACAATAACAAAATGATACGTGAAGTCCTGAGGTTAACAAACACAAACCTCTCCGGAACAAGATCCCACAAATGACAAGTGCACAACAGGCTGCCTAAGTATGGTTCCCAATCAGAGACAACAAGACACAGCTGCCTCCGATTGGGAACCACCCCGGGCCAACACAGAAACACACGATCTAGATAAGAACACATAGAAAACAAGACATAGATACTACACATATAAACTAACACCCTGGCTCAACATATAAGAGTCCCCAGAGCCAGGGCGTGACAGTACCCCCCCCCAAAGGCGCGGACTGCGACCGCGCCAACTAAACCCAACAGGGGAGGGGCCGGGTGGGCATTCCGCCTCGGAGGCGGATCCGGCTCCGGGCGTGACCACCACCCTCTAACTAACCCCCCGTAGCGCCCCTGGTCTGGTCTGGCCCCGCTGGCTGGAGCTGGACTGGACATCGGTGGAGCGGATTGCTTAGGCTCC